AAATTTACTAACCTAGGAATCAAGCAAGATAAAAAGCTAAAGTTTCATGAGAACGTTCTATGTTCAGTGGGACCATGAAAATTTAAACTCAGCTTTCTACGTTTCATGTACGAGCATGTGAAAGTTTTGGCAGGGAATTTTTCAATTCGGAAACCAGGCAAGACAGGAAGCCGAAAATTTGAGAGAACGCTTTTTGTTGAAAACTTAGATTTAGCTTCTGCGCGTGTCTGCGTTTTAAGCACGGGTGCAAGAAAACCTGGACGAGAAGCTGGCACTTTTCTAGCTTCGCTGAGCAGAGCTGCACAGAATAGAGGATAACACCGGCTACGTCTGCCACTTTTAGTTTTATCTGTTGCCGATGGGTGGAGAATAAAGCTACATCACCGAACGGCCCACGCTATTGGTACAGATTCCTCGGCATAACTAAGGGGTTGCAGCCACACGTACAGCGCAACTTTGTCCTCCTGTGATGATTTGCGTATCGCAGGTTTCTGTTTGCCTTGTCAGCTTTGTGCTCAAGCCATCTTTCCGCTCGACTGGCTATTACTCCTCATTAGTGCCACTCATTAGTATCGGTTGTCAGCAGAACGAGCAAAGTAAATTGCAATTTCCATTTTCCCTCGTGGTTAGAACGATACTTTGCATGTCATTTGCTTGTATCTGTGAGCAGGAAGAGATAGTTTTGGCATCCTACGCTTCATCGCAGCCTTCGCTAACAACTAACATTTATTCGTCCGCTTTCGTCAGCAATCACGTTTCGAATTCGAATGCCGCTAACTTAAAAATAGTAACTAATAAATCATAAAATTTTAAATAACCTCTGGAGCAGAGCATTTAAGCAGCATATACAGTATAGATGGCATCTTAACGCAGTCACTACTTTTCATGCGTTTTTGCATATGTGCAAATGCAAAAACGCATATTTTGATGACCCCGATGTGCGTGTGTTTATGTTTGTGTGTGTGTACTTGTGTGTATGTGTGTGTGTACGCGTCTGTCCGGGTATTTCAACTCAGCAGCTAAGCAGGCTCCGGCGCTAAAATTTTGCTAGTGGGTTTGCCAGATGTGCCACTTCAGGATCGCAGTACCAGCCTTCACGCTTGTCCGGGCCCCGTGTACAAGCACACGAAAGCTTCGGCATGAAAATCGCTAACTCGGCGACCAGAAAAAGCTGGAAAGCTGAAATTTTAAAGGAATTCCCCTGCCCACGCACCATGTAGTAATTGCACAATTAACTTCCTAAATTTCGAGGACCAGTATGTTGGAATTCCAAGCGATTTTACTACAGCGCAAAATACTGCAAAAACCATTATCGCGCGGGCCCACTTGGTGCATGCCCCCCAGTGGCTGAATTTCATTCAAGAAAAAAGAAGGAAATAAACTTATCTACGAGAAATAACAGATGTAGGGGGATTTTTTCTGCGTTTTTTCTGTGTTTCACGCAGATGAAAAAGAAAAAACATTCAAAAAGCGTCATGTGTGTGCTTGTCTGTCTGCTCACAGTTCGGTTGCAGAACTACGAAAATTAGGAAATCAAAATTTCAGGGACGCGGCCCCGGCTTTTTGCTGGGTCATATGTATGTATATATCTCACATCTCTTTCTATGCCCCAAAATGTGACCTCAGGCCCAAATCCAGGCTAGTTTTATCACTCGTGAACTAGGACAGTTATAAATTGGAAATTTCAAGAGATTTATTCGCATTGTAATTCGAGGAAAATCAAGTCCCAACCTCCAAATTGCCATGATCTATGATCTCGGGTGTAAGGCTAGACTAATTCTGTGAATGGAGAGCTAAAATTTCGAAAAGTTATTTCAATAAAGTGATTCGAAGAAAATATCTCCAATTAGCTTGCAAGCTCTACTGCCTCTTCTCAGACAGCTTCCGGTTTCTACAGTCGCCCTGCTGCATGAATGCCCGAGCACGAAAATTCATGACTGCTAATTATTTGATCACTAATTCTGCCACAGCAGTGAAAAAAAAAACACTACAGGTACAAGTGTTTTTACACACCTAATTCGGGATTAAGCTTTTTGTGCGTGGGCATTTCTGTCAGTCTACTCAAAAATACAAGTTTAGAACAACAAAAGTGAAGAACGCGAAAAATTTTAGTCAGGAAATCGTCATTCCCCAATCAAGGGTCACATATTTGAAAGAGGTTTCAGATTTTCTTGTAACCTGCTTACTACTCGGATCCGAGTTCCAATTATTTCTTCAGTTCGAAAACTGAAAAAATTAAAAAACTGAGGGTTATTTAATTGGACGATTTGGCTCAAAATCAAAAGCTGGCTGGGGCCTAGTTTGTGAACTCAGTTTTTATTTAATTTTGTAACTTAAATGCGGGGCAGGCTGGGAAATTCAGTTTTCAGATACAAGTCCTACACGGAGTAAATAAATCAATGTTCAAATCTCGCTGTGTCTTGATTTTTGACGGCAAATCTAGACAAACGCACAGATTATGCCGAAAATTCCAGCTGCTTCTGTGCATGGTAAGTTTTACGATCCTAATGGTGAGCTGCTGTCTGCTCTGGCACACTCACCCACTGGACATCCGCAGCAGATTAAACGAAAACCGCGTAACTGCACTGACTTGGCGCACGCCGCTCAATATTCAGTTGAACTTAGCAGTGCTACATCCTGCTTGGGTTTTGAAGTGCAAATGAGCAAGTGTATGTCCCAAACTATCAAAAATGTTTTTATTTGCTGTGCAAATGCACAGTGGAGCAATGCCGAAGTGTAAATGCAAAGAAAGCAATCGAAGGACGCATCAAGGAACTAGCTCGTTTATGCGCTTTTGCGACAAAACCGTTCTAAACATACGGTAAAAAAGTGCGCTAAAACATGCTGAATTTGGATGAAGTTTGTCTATTAATCTTTTGACTAGCAGGGCATAAAAATTGCCAAAATATTGGTTTCGCGGCTTGCCCCATTTTGGAAATATAGCTTCAGCCTGCTGCACTTAGGCATGAGTCCATTAATCAGTACACAGCGTAGATTTGGAAATTGATTTCGATTTCCTTTTTAGACGTTATACTGTGGACGCAGAAAAACTGAAGTCTCTATAATCCGTTTCATCTAGAAAATTCGTCTGCATTTCGATTCAAAAAAACACAATACACTTTGGAAGCTGACTTCACGTTATTCGTTCAGTGTTATTCCCAAAGGCGAAATATTAAAAACTTCAGTTCGCGGTTTGTCTGATTTATGACTTCAAATCATCAATCCAGATTTGAGTCCGAGATCACAGATGCAAATAAAGTGAGATTCTTAAGAGGCTACTCCTAGGCTACTCATCCTACGTTATGATCTAAACTCGTCCTCTAATGTGGCTTCATCAAGTGTAAATTTATTGCACTATTCAATATTCAAAGCTGAAATCACAGGTCAGGGCGCTATGAGAATGAAGAACTGATTTCGGGTTATTTATCAGGGATTTCCGCTTTGTAGACATGTCTATTTATGAAGTAAACCCAAGATGAAGCCACAGGTCAAGTCAAGTGAGCCCACCCTTGGGTTAAGACATAAACTACAGGGCTAAAAACGGTTTCAGATCATTAACTCGAGGCAAAATTGAAAACTATGTCCTAAAAAATCAGCCAGGTCGAAGACTACTACTTATTTTTTCTTGTCACTTGTAGAGCTGAAATATAAACATACACACGTACATGGCCGCTGTATAAAGCTTTGTTTGTCTTTTCTTATCTATCTTTGATTTATATAATAAATAAATAGCTGCATGCACCAGGGTGGCCGGTGCGACCATGCGCTTTGCCTAGTGGGCAAATACTGCTAGGAGCATTCACTGCTTTACAGTTGTGCACAATAGTACCAAATTCCATGTGCTCGTGCGTGAAACGCGGTCGTTCATTGGGGCTGGATTTGAACCTGTAGGCTCGCACATGAGCAAAAAATATCCTCCAACAATTTTAGCTTTCTGTTCTACCTAGTTCCCGAATTAAAAACTCCTTATGTAAAACTTCATGTGTTCTTACCTGAGACACAAGAGCACATAAAAGCTGAATTTGAAGTTCAAGAGTTTTACATTAAGAGGAAGCATCATACCAAATTTTCAGCTTCCCATATTATCGGTTCTTGGAGTAAAAAAATTTTGTGATAAAACTCCCAGATATTTGTACGTGAGACTTAGACATAAATTTAAGTTTTTGGGGTTTTAAATATTACCTTAAAGTTTCAACTTCTTAGCTTTCTTTGATTTCTAAACTAGCAATTTTGCAGCAAAAAATTTCATTTGTTCGCACTTGAGATCTGAACATGCCTAGAAACTGAATTTAAATTCGAGAGGTTGCACGTGGGCGGGGACATTCTCGTAAAATTTCAGCTTCCCAGATTTTCTTCCGCAGTTATTAATTTTGGAGCTAAAACTTCCACGTGTCCGAACATGAAGCCTGAGCGTACGTGAAGGTTGCATTTAAATTTTGCAAGATTATGCGTGAGCGAGAAACATTCTCCTACGATTTCATTATCCTAGCTTTTGTGTTGCCTGAGTTGAAAACGCGGGTAAAAGCACACTCAAACGTACACATACACATGCACATACACAACCACAGACAGATGCGTGACAGTATGCGTTTTGTGCAGCTATTACACAGCACAAAAGATAATAAAAGCGGAATGAAACGTAATTGAGACCGAACACGGCTGTAATTCCACAACAGTTTTTTGGCTTGGATTTTTATTCGGTCACTTGGCTTGCTTCGTTATCAGACGCCAACGTACCCGAGCACTCATCGGCCAGCTTTGGTAGTGATGGTACTGTTGATGGAAACTTCTTTTTTGACGTTGATTGATCAGCCACTTTTGTGCTGCACCGATTTGCTACATCAGTCAAGTATCCTTTCTGGAACAAATCCTTGCGCAATTTGGGCACTAGGCAGAAAGACTCATGCACTTCATATAACTCACTTAATAAAATCATTTGAATGAAAGCCATATGTTCAGAGATCAGACATTCAAGAGTGCACGATGTCCAGTTTTAGCCTTTCTATATCTCCAAGTGCACCCAGTAGTTATCACTAGCACTTTTAGATATAGACCATTCTCTTCCATAAAGTGCAGGTAAGGTGCCTGTTTGATATGACTGTATTATCTGCATCATCATAATCCTTTGACAAATTCCAGAAACAAGATGCCTCCATAAAATGATTGCATTATCCGCATCTTTGTTGTTCAAGTGATCAACTTTTGAATTGATCAAAGCTAGTCGAATGTGATGTATCGTGCACTCCAAGAAAATCGACCTTCAAGTATTCATCAGCTATCTTATCTGCTGTGCGGCTACCCTACAGTTAGTACTCTTTCAGACCCCACATACCGCGCCTTTGGATGATTGTCGCATATCACCAATCAGTAAATGTGCCTCAGTTATGAATGCCAAGTGACAGATGACTTATGGTAATAGAAACCTTAATCCTTTGACAAATTCCAGAAACAAGATGCCTCCATAAAATGATTGCGTTATCCGCATCTTTGTTGTTCCAGTGATCAACTTTTGAATTGATCAAAGCAAGTCGAATATGATGTATTGTGCACTCCAAGAAAATCGACCTTCAAGTATTCATCAGCTCTATTTCCAATGAACTATATGAAATGAGACAACGCGTGTGTTAAACGTCTAAAATTAACCTCAAAATATCATGCACTCCTTATTTGGTTCTAGATCGTCTTGTCCAAGCAACCAAAATTTATCAATAATTTATGGCCTGTTCCTCATTCAAGAATCAAAATACTGCAGTTTTGGATACTAATTAGACCTTGCAGGCCTACGGTAGCGTAAGAACCAAGTGCTCATCTTGAACTCAGCCACTGTACAACATGCATGATATGAAGTGCTCAGCCACCGCATGCTCTGCAATGCCTGCCAAAAACAGCTAAAATTCTTAGACGAACGATTCCTTCACTTCATCCCTACTGTTGAGAAAATGAAAAGTATTTTTACCAGTAGTACGGACGGAAACCGTGGCTGGATTCCAGCTTGCCATGCCTGCGTCCTAAATTATCCAGGATTGGATCGAAAGACTCCAGGTTATCTAAACTGTTAATACCAGTTTCCAAAACCTAAAATAGAAATGTGGTAAGCTTAGCTTGATCAGTGCGGCATAACGGAATCTCGGCGTAACAGTGATCTTTTTTGTCGCGTAGCAACCGCCCAAGCCTGCCTTTTTTATCCTCATTATAGTTAGGAACAACTTGTGATAGAGCTGAAAAGCGACCCATTAAAGCTAAACTTTTCATCCTAATCTACGTCACTTTTAATTTAGCACATCTGCTTCTTTATTAATGATGATGGTCTATAGCTTACAAAAAATTTAAACGTGGAAAATTCTTTTTCTAACGATGCCCGCACACGCTTACATATGCAGACTGGAAAAGAAACTATAGAAACTCTCTCGTCTGGCTATCAGTAGAGCTTTCTCGACAAGGCTATCGCCGTTCTCCACCATCACTATACCTATTATTGAAAGAAATCTGATATGGCCATACCTGAATAAAACGGAGCGCCTGAAACACAAATTCCTTACTCTTCTTTTCATTGTCGGTAGAAGGCAATCGCATGAACGGAAACAATCGCCGAACATCGGGACACTGAAATTAGCAGCAAAACTCCACTACAACCTACCAATTAACGCGAAAAAGGAAGAAGGAAATGTCGAAGAGCTTGAAGGACTGAAGTGAATTCTCAAAAACTTTATTTTTAAAAACTATTTTAATGCAGCATTAGCATCCATGAATGCCGCCTGAGTGAAGCAAATTTTCCTGCCTGCTAACGTTCGTAGTGCTCGTTTCGCAGCTTTTACAAAAGAAACATATCAGGAGTTAATAATGATTGGGACGTGTGAATTTACTTCAAAGAGTTGGGCATTTTCAGCAGTCTTTACGAAAAGAAGATCAAAAAGGCATTTTTTCACGAGGGGTAAAACTTTATCTGTATCCGTAACCAAATAATTTCTTTTAACAATAATTTTTTTTTTCGTGTAAGAAATTTCCCTTTTCTCACCGCTGTGCCATTGCCAGCGGGCTAGATCTTTTCTTTTGCAGCCTCTTGTCAAATGTGAATAAGACTCCTCCGGCACTACGTTAAACTGCTGCCTTATAAAAATAGTCTTCCTCGAATTTATGGAAGGAACAGAGAATTTTGCGAATATACCTGATTGAAAATCATTGTGTAAATGTTGCAAGAAATTGTTTTAACATCTGTCTGGAGTGTCTTCCAGGATCGTCTCAATATTTTTTTTTCAGCTTCATTAAAATCGTACCACTCTTCTTCCTGGCTAAAAATAACTTTATCATGCATTTGCGGTTTTCCAGAAGAGAGAGCCCTCACGACTTTTGGTGATTGTTTTTTTAAAAGCGTGCGAATAAACCAAGTTACCCACAGATTTTCTTTTCCCCTGAAAACTACAGAAGGAAAGCTGTCCAGGTTTTGAAAAAAATTTCCAGAAATACTGTACAATTTGTAAGCAATCTAATGGTATCCAATACTGCATGGCTTTCCTTTTTCACAGTCATTCTAACGTGAGCGAACAATAATAAAATTAGGTAGACCAGAACCTTCAAATTAAGGATTATTATGAAACCAACCTGGAAGCGCTACCTTGTTCGCAACATGACATGCTGTTTGCACAGTACATGGAGCTGAAAAATGTTAGCTTTTCA